TGTGGAAAGGCCTTCCATTCTTCCAATTCCTTCCGAGTCCATGAAAGAACTCACAGTGGCGAGAAACCCTATGAGTGTCAACAATGTGGAAAGGCTTTTGCTAGTTCCTGTTACCTCCATGTTCATGAAAGAACTCACCGCGGAGAGAAACCCTATGAATGTGAACAGTGTGGAAAGGCCTTCAATTACTCCAATTCTCTCCGAGTCCATGGAAGAACTCACAGTGGAGAGAAACCCTATGAATGTCAACAATGTGGAAAGACCTTCACTTGTTCTGGTGCCCTGCATGTGCATGAAAGAATTCACAGTGGAGAGAAACCCTATGAATGTGAACGATGTAATAAAGCCTTCACTTATTCCCACTCTCTGAAGGTGCATATAAGGTCACACTATCGAGAAATGCTGTGAGTATAAATATGGTTGGAAGGCCTTTGGTTGTTCCAGTTATACTGGAGTGTATGGGAATACTCACTGAAGAGAAAAATATGGCAAGAACTTCATTTAGTCAAGTGACATTTGAGAATATAAAACAGAAAAACCCAGAACCAACCAAACTTCTGGGAGAGAAACACTGCATGTAAAAAAGAATGTAGTAGAGCTAAGGGCTTACTTTTCTGCTTCATTGCACAACACTTCATTGATGGAAATTCTAATATATGTGGAAAACCCATCTCATCACACAACACTTTGAGTATGCTAGTGAGAATTTACTATGGGAAAAAATCCTATGAATATAAAGAGTGTTGAAAATTTTTCAGTCATTTTTGTTCATTTTGAAAATATGAGATTGTTGTGGTCTCTCCCCTACTCCCCTGGCCTATACTGGGGATTGAACTCAGGATCTTGCACTTGCCAGCCAGGCACTGCACTGCTGAGTTACATCCCCAACCCTCTCCCACTTTGTTCTTGAGACTGGTTATCCACTAATTGGTAAATTGAACAGACTGGGCTTGAACTTGTGATCCTCCTGCCTCAGCCTCTCATGGTCCTGGGTCTACAGGTATGTGCATTACACTTAGCCGAGAACAATTTTTTGATAGTAAGAAATATTGGAAAGCCTTTATGAGGCCTACATCCTTAGAAGGGTATGTTGCATGGCCCACTGGGTATAAATATAAGCATTTGAAAAATGGGTGAGGGCTGGGGATTTAGCACAGTTGTTCTGCCACCGGCCTCGTAAGTGCAAGGTCCCAAGTTTGATCCCTGGTACCAAA